TACATATTCTTTCTGTTCTATGAAACAGTGTTTTGACAAGTGCCTTTTTATAATTGATTGGACAAAAGCTGTTGAAATTGAGATAAATACCATTCCATGTGTCTTTCTTTGAAATTAGGGAAAATAATATACCTTATTCAATTTATATCCATGTTACCTAGTGCAACAATTAAAGACCCGTTGATTTGAGTATTACTGGAAGTATCAATTACTTCCAATTTTTAAACGGTCCATGCTGATATGTGTTGATTAGCAAAAGAAGTTTGAAAAAGAGATCGTTTCTGAGGAATGGATATGAAAAGTTTATCATTAGTGAATTAGAAAATTTAATTAATACCCGTTCGAGTACAAATCAGTTTTGCCATTCGACAAAACAAACCACATTGTTTTTTTAAATTTTACAATACTTTCTGCATGATGAACTGAGACCTATCACAAAATCATTTAAAACTAAGAACTGCCTAAACGGTTGTTTGATATTCGTTAAACGTAGACATCTGTGACCCTGGGAAATGTCAAATTCAGATTACATCTTGTGGCTGGTGTTGAACCGAAATATATAACAGCCCTTATATTTACAACTACAGTCAAATTATTATTGAAAAGGGTCTGAATTATCCCATTGTTGATATTCAGGAATGAATTTGAGTCAGTATTTTTGGAATATGTTAATTTTATGATGTTTGCTCCGATTTAACCATCTGGTCACAACTTTTCTAAAAGCAGATAGGTTGTGGCTGTCGGTAAGATCTAGGACGCGCGTTTTGTCGTATTTGAGTTTCGTCAGCTGGATTTACCGACATCCCAGTGTTGATGTTCATATTGGGACCAAAACACGATAATTAAAACATAGTATTTCACGTTCATATTAGCTTTGTGTGGAAATTCTTATCAAGACGATAACTAACTTCAAATCAAACTTCTCTTTACAAGCTATTCGAATGAATCAGCAGTACAACGAATGTATGATCATACTGTCCATGTCGGCGCCCTGATACCTAAAACACTGAACTTTCCACCACATTATTGTAGGGGGTGAACTCTGTTTCATCTTAGCCTTAATTTAACTTGCTGAATGGTAGTAGTTGTTTTGTAGACTTTAACAAAATTGTTGCAGATTAAAGTACAGTACATAAAATTTGAATTTGATGAGTTGCATTGATATTCTGTCAATACGGTAAACAATTATTTCCTCTTCCCTTTTTAATATTAGAATGGTTACAGTTTTTTCATGGATTCATTAACTAGATGAATAACGTCTTCATGGGAAAATTACTCATTTTTTTATTGAGATCATGAACCGATTGCTGTTAGACGACCATTGAAAACCTGGAAGCACTGGACGGCCGTTTTGTCCTAGTATGGGACTCCTTAGCAGTGCGCATCCACGAACCCGGCTCACGAGATTCAAACTCAGAACCTATCACGAGCGCTTAACCTCTAAACCACTGAGCCAGCGTCCAACGGTATTATTGTCTGACCTCAACGAATCCACGAAATTGTATGACCATCTTTCATTGTACTGAGGTAGATACCTGTCTCTACCCTACACGGATTAGCTCCACTGGTCACGGCTTCTCACCAGAACTCCGAAAATTCCCTCATCAAGCTAGTCACTAGTGAGCATATGGTACTTATCAATCAATCAAAAACTTGATAATCTCCACAACCCTATTTGGAAAATTATTCATATTTAAAATAATAGTAATTTCAAATGACTGTTATTTATTCATTGAAATTGATAATTGTTTTAGTAAATTGCAAGAAATCAATATTACTGTGATCAGTATTTAATTTAGTTTTGATCAATGTGTTCATGTAATTTTGTTATTTTTCATTGATTAGTCGATCAAAAAATATCATATGGTAGTTAAACACTTTTGAATATTTAACCAATGAACTCCAAATGACTTTCACTTTAGTTTGGTCAGCTGGATCATGGTATTACAAAATGTGATTTAAAGCCTTCCACATGTATTGTACTTAATCATTTTGTCTTGCTAAAAGAAATTAAAATAATTCAAGTCACATTTTGCAGAGAAACACTGATTATTATCAGTATATGGGTTTGTGAGGATTGCTGAAGTTCTATAGAGATCACAAAACGATTGAAGTTAAATATCCGGAAGCACTGGAGAAATGCTTTGTTATATTATGGTACTCTTCAATAGTATGCGTCCACGACTTCATCTGAGATCGGATGTTGAACTTACAGATCACTGACTTGGAATCCAATTCTGTTAGACATGTACACTTGGGTCATTTTATATTACCAAAAACACTGATAAACTGTACTATTACACTGAAATAAGATATGCAAAACATTATTAGGGTTTTATGTTAAAATAGCGTGGAAATCTTAAAAGCATTAATATATAATGAATAGATGGGATGTCTTTTGAGTTGCCGTAAAAGTTCGGGAATCATCACTTTATTACTTACTAAGATAATACTAAAAATGTGTAGGGTTCACTGATTAGATTGAGCTCTGAAATCAATAAATCGGTTATCTAGTATTTAAGTCAATTTGGACTATACAAATAAATTAGATTATGATATGAATGTTCAATAAATAACTAATTACTTATTACAGTGAAATACATATTTATAAAAAGTTTTCATTGGCATTTCCGTTTCACACAGGCCACTTCCTATAATCTTAATTGAGCGTTTAGTAACAAGAAATACATTTAAACCAAAGTTAAACAATCAAACCCTGGATACCGATGAAACATGTTAAAAAACGATTTAATTCACAAATTATTTGTAGTTAGTTTTATTGGTTGATTACTAAATAATGACAAGTGTTGTGCCTCTCTATCCCTTAGTGCTAATGGAAATTTGTTGGAAACGTTATAATATGGACTTTAAAACTGAGTCAGTGTACAAACGAACATTTTACATGATTTTATAGTTCGATTTTCTCATGAAATCTTTGATTATTCTTTTACTGGAAAGGAGTGTCAATCTTGATGGTTGGTGGGCTCAATCTTCCAAAGCCTAAGCTTTAGTATACGAGATCGAAAGTAATGGGTTCTACTACTGACTAAAGAATTGCGAATGCCCACTGTTAAAGAGTCTTATACTAGTTCGAAATGATGTTTCAATGATTCCAGGTTTTCAATGGTGGTCTAACTAAGATCAATTCATTTAGTAAATGTTGAAAACCAACCATATGTGTAGAACGTAATTTAAACATTATTCAATTTTAAGGCAAATGTTTACCAGTTTCCAGTGATTGTCTATGATGGGTCCATAATGTAATACTATAAAAGCAAACAATCTTCAAAGCTCTTTGCTCTAATAAATCGGTTTTAATCAGAAGAAGCAAATATTTTAATCATGATAGTGAAGCAAGTTTTCTATCCAATATATGAAAACCGTGGATCATTTCAGTCACTTAGATCATCCACAGCATTTTGAATGTTTAGTGAATGTTTGTGGAGAACAGATGCATTATTGATAGCAGTTGAATCCAAAGCGTGTGTTTCTTCCTATTAGGGACTGACTTATTATTTAGTCAACACCTGTATAGAACTTCAGTAATGTTATCTAGAAGCTAGTTACCAATTAGAATATAGCTATTATTACTGCTACAGTTGTATCTTTAAGCCCGACTTACTATCATGTGATTTATTCGCCAATCGAAATACGACTCATAGAGTGTTAGCAGTGGATCAAACCAATAATGAGAGTGTCTATGTACAAACAATCCCACATATAGGATGAAATAATTCAGAACTGATAAACACAATCACAAACCAGTAATCACAGTATACAAAACAATGATCTGTAATTGCTTTGAATATACGAACGATTATTTAGTGGTGGTAGTAAAATAGAGAAAATGGGCAGTTATTACACGAATGCAGTATACGATACTGGAAGCAACTTCACATAGTCTGATTATTTGCAGTTCCGAATACTAACAGCAGGAAATTAATAAACCCCATCAAAGCTTTCACAACCGTTCAATAAGTTATTGTCTACCTTAACCCAGTAGCTCAGTGGATAACGTGTTGGCTGTTTAAAATGAAATGTACTGGGTTCGAGTTTGTGTGTGAACGTTCAAAATGGGTTGTAGGTGTGTAAAGTTGACAGGTCTCAAATACACTAAAAGTTGTAACATAATGCTACCTCGAGGGGATTCAATCAAGATATTCAGATGACAACAGAAACTGATCAAAATTCAGTCCTGGGTGTCAACGACAAGAAATCATAAACCCTCATCAGTAATTTCTTAAATTTATATCTTCAATATGGATTAGATGCTAATGATATTTGTCATTAACGACAAAGGAACCTCTCCAACTAAAACATTTAGCGTACAGAACTCAATAAAACGAAAACATTCACCTGAGGTGAAAATATCTTCCACCAGTTCTATATCCTACTATTCATGTTCATAAGTACATATATTTTTTGTCTGTGTATAATTCAAAGAGAGACTGAGAAAGACTGAATGAAAACGAGATGTCTAACTGTGCAGTAAAGAATTCTGTATTATTTCCCATAGTTTCTATTCTGTGAAATAATTTCTCCACAGTTTAAAATACAATTAGTCATGATAACGCATCATGTTGAATTTAATAAAAAAACCCTCAACATTCAATTGATAGTAATATCTTGTTTGGGATTGGAACGTTTCTCAACCAAAACACAGCTCATTGCATATTTTTGAATTTCATGATAGTTATCTGCTACCTGTAAAGTTGTTAACAATATTATATATAGCAGACCATCTTCAGCGAAATAACTTTTGAAAACATGTAAGTTCTAGACAACTATTTGGTTTCACAATCGAGCCGTTTAGAGATATGGGTACTTACCGTCCTATCAAGGATTAAACTCATGACTTCCAGACCTATAAGAAAATGTGTTGCCATTGTTGTTAACCAATAATTCGTACTTTCAACTTTACTCAATTTATATATCTATTGATTTACTGACTTAAACTCATGCTATTTATGCGATCGCTATTATTTATGTTATTTCTTTAGCAACATTATATGTCCCAAGACATATTTACTGGTTATATGGTGCAACATTTACACCAAGGGGGCAATTTCAGCGAATAATGGGTAAGTTGATTAATTTAATTGATAGGTAGGAATGCTGGGAATCTTATCCTCTTTTATTCTGAATTTTTATATACCACATATAGTTCAAAATAGATGAAGTGAGTTATTGTGAAGATCGGTTTAATTCGTAGGTGTAGAATAAGAACAGCTGTAAAACCAAAGTGTTGTTCCGTAGTCATTTGGAACTCTTATGGATGAATAAATAGCCAAGGTTTTACACAAGATCCAATGAATTGAGTAACTCTTCTGCACCTGTTAGGTCATAATGAGCTGGGGACCTTGAGAGACCCTACAAACACCTTTGATTATGGTCCGAATTAGATCAAGTAAGCTTAACTGATGATTAACGTTTCAGATTCAGTATGCAACAATACCACGTGATGCTTGTAATGTTGCTTACATACCGTATCATAATCACTTTTTGGTCACAAAACAGATATGTTTATCAATTTTTCGAGCCTTTTAACAACCTGACACGAGTAATTTTTACTATTCTCGAGATTGGATGTACCCGTAAATTTGTCTTCAAATGTTCAATATTTTTGCAATATCCGACAATACTCGACAAAGAAATGGTGAAATGTTTGAAAATTTCAAATGCTGCACTTTAATAAACATTAAAACAAGATGAATAACTTAACACCTTAGCTTATGGTAAGGTATTTGAATTTAGCACAAAAATCCAAAAATGATAATCTTAGATCTGATCAATTCGTCATTATAGTATATTTTAGCAACAACAACAAAAAGTGAGTAGTTATAAAATATCCATTTGTTTTAAGACAACTTGAGGAAAAAAAATTTATTAAGGGAACTAATTTCTTTGTTTGTTACAAAAATGATTTCTCTGAACTTTTTTTAAATTCATAAATATCCATTTTTCAAAGTCGATATAAAAATTAAAATTGATTTTATTGGTAAAATTCTTTGGTTGTCATAGTTACACCCATATACTCCAAAAAATGAAATATAATCCTATATTTTTATTTAAGATTTCAATTTGTTTTCAGTATTAATAATGTAAATGATAAAAATTTATCCGAAAAGTAGAATATTTTACCTTATTTCATAAAACAAATAGAGATAAATCAATTAATTTAAGTTTAGTCATCATACCACCTGCTAAGTGTGGAAGATTTTATATTGATATTGAAATGATAGGAAATGATTGATTCTCGCTGGCTGTTCATTCAAAGTAACATCTATTAATAAAACCTGTCTTGTTATCCACAAAATTGGTTCATCGGAGACTTTATAATTAGTCTGACAATAATTTCAACAATTAAAAACATAAGAATGATTTAATGTAGTACATTAACAAACCACATAAGAATGAAAACAAATCGTCAATCATTTCGAGTAGTTGAAAGTGTTTACTACAAAAAACCTCTAAAATAGACATTGTGCTCGTTGGTATTTGTCACCAAAACATAACTGCAATCTTGAGGAAACTAAACTTCCCTATTGGATTCGAATTTGCGTCGCCTACTTTCACAGTTTAAAATGTTATCGTTGATCTACTCAGCCAGCAACTGAACTCTTGTAGGACCGACATATGTAGAAAATAAAACAAGTATTACCGATGACAATAAATAATGGCCAATGAATATCGCGAATTGACTAATGAGCGTGAATTAGTTGCGCAAAAGCCTTGACGATCAGAATCCCCTTATCAGAACGAAATCACTGTTTATTTACCCATGATTTTCGTTGATTAACTCGCTAAAGTCAGTTTATTATTGTAATTATCTAAAAGATTGAACAATGCAACCTTTCATGGGATAGAAAACTTGCTGCTATGATCAAGTTTTAACAAGATATGAATGACAAAATTTACGGACTCAGTCATCCGGCGTAGACTCTTTTGAGAATGTGTAGCATCTCCATTAATTATAATAGTTTGAACTGTTATTGATAGGATTACCGCAGCCACAAACATTTCTCAGATTATTTCACTCATGTCGACTCACTGCATATTCTTGTAGTGTAATTACACTTTCTGGTTCTGTACTTTACTTTCTTACAGAGAGGTGTGTTTTTTTCGTAGGAATCTTATGAAATGTAATCACTGAATAAGAAAAAGAGAATTCAGCGAAGAAAATTTCATTTTTGACGAAACCATTTATTTAAGCTGTACATTCGCATATATAGTTATATATGGAAAATATAGGTCTATAGGAGGATAGAAGAGATTGCACCATAAAATGGATTCGAGACTAAATAACGAATGCGGTTACGCACTAATTAAGCGGTAAGGAAGGAATATAAGGATGAAAATAATTTATAGGTCAGATAATAGACCTATATTTTCCATATAAGTATATAAATATACGAATGTACATCTTAAGTGAATGATTTCGTCATAAAGAAAATTTTTTTCGTTGAATTCTCTTTATTTTTGTTCAATAACATGAGTTATTTTCATTATCAAAATGTAATCACTTGATAAATTTAAAATAATACAATAATAATTAGATTTGCAGAATAGAAGAGTATTTACAGTAATGTTCCAGTATATCATATGGTAACTTCTTCACTATACTTATAATTAGTAAGTAATAAGTGGAATAATTTCAACTTCTGACATATCATTTACGTTGAATGCAATCAGACAATATGAAAACATTCAAAGAAAATATTTGTGGAATACTGCACACTGACCATTTCAATTTCACATAAACAGTGTTATTAAAATTGGAGCGATATTTATGATGGTACTTCATGAATTAGTGTCACTATTTTTCTTACTCTTCCCATCCTTTTCATACCTCAAGGAGTCAGTATCATATGTTTGTTATAACTTGTGGGTTTGTGCCCCTATCAATGCATAACGTAATGATACCGCCAATTATAGAGCAATGAATTATCGACCAGACCAATGATGTATAAAACAAGTACGATCAGTCTAGTCTTTATCGGTCCTGCTTCCCGCCTAGTCCAGCCAGTTAAGTCCAGAACACCAATCTCAGCCTCTGCGATATGAAACATGTATTTCAAACATATTGGGTTTACATGCCAACCAGACAGACCATAAAATAGAAAATAACATTTGTACAAGATTTAGCCAAAAGTTACTGTGAATGTGGGAGATAGTAATTGATAGACTGGACATAACTCAAGAATGGCAAATCGTATAATAATAGTCTATGGGTCAAAATAAAGCTCATAATAAGAGAAACACAAATGTGAATAGTTTAGTTACTCAACAATTGTACAATAAAAATATATGTATAATATTAGTCCATAAATAGATTCTGACAGTTACCATCCATTATTCTCATCTGAATATAATAATGTCTATTTCTTTAATAACTAGCTATATACCGTAGTCAGACAACTAGGAGGCTCTGGACAGCTTTTTATTTTCAATATGAGGCACTTGAGCAGTACACATAAACGATTCCATCATGAACTGAATCCAGGGTCCTTAGATTTAACAGCTAGAACTTAACCTTTAGACTACTTATTCGGGATAGGATGGTTTATATGCTCATTTTTAATCAAGTTGTGGCACCGTAAAGCCATCTTCCGATGACACTGATCGGTAATCACTTTACACTTGACATGTTCGAACTCGACTAATCCCGGCTTTTCATTGGAGTTGGAGTTACTTTTTGAAATTAGTCACTAGTGAAAGCGTAAGTTCAACCCGTTTATACGTGCTTTCAAGACGTCCTAATGCAGGATAAAACAGATGTCTAATAGTTTTTAGTTTTCAACGTTCTCAATACTAAGTAGACGTTGGTCATTAATTGATAAAAACAGTAACATTGTGGTGTATGCTACTTATGGTGATAGATATAAGTAGTATGTGGCAGCAACCCGACTTGGCTCTTACACTTCTTTTTTACATAGTTGGCAACGGAGTACAGTATGACGTATTATCTGATATTTTACTGTCTTACCTACTTATTAATATTACACGAAAGGGTTTTCTAAATCAGCCCGTTTGTTTGTAATTATGTTACTATTATATTTCTGTTGAAGTCTAGAATGATAAGATAGATATTCAACACGTTTATTTGAACTACGTACAGTGGCCTTGAGACTACATTTCGACACCCAATTGGCACATCCTTATACTTTAGTTTTACCGATAATTCTTATGTTCTTTATACAACTTTCTATGCATAGTGTAGTATTTTTTTAATGAATTTCTTTTTCTTAACACTTTTAGCTGGTTGTGGAATGGAATTATACAGTGTAGGATTGAGTCATCCAATAAATGTAGCAGGTGTATTCATTGGTTTCACTTTAGCCTCACCATATTTAAGAACATGGCCATATATTCTATCTGGATTAATGAATTCATCAGAAATTAATGTATTCAATCCTTTATATTGGATAGATAGACCTATATTAGAACATATTGGCTGTTTATTATATATACTACCATCTTCAATACGTTGGGGCAGTACAGTTATTGTTAATTCGTTTCAACAATATCCATGGTCACTAGCAAATCCACTGGAATCATCATCAGCAGCAGCATTATCATAAAGAAGATACGAATGAATAGATAAATTTAAATATGCCTTTAGTTCAGAAAAATACCGTTCTTGTATACATCAACATATCCTCAAAACACTTTGAATATCACACTTAAATATACATTTTAAACATTCTATCTAAATATATTACTACGGTAAGACTATGAGTTATGGACGAGCCAATCAGGTATAAGATAACAGGCCTCGCATTTTGGCGCGAAATTCACTCATCCATCTGACCAAATAGAGTCTTGGGATTATAGCTGATGTCAGTTCGTGATGAAAAACCGTAAATGTAATTCCTAACCCTAACCATTAATCATTATTCTTCAAACTGCTTTATAACCTTCATTTATCCCTAGTAAGTAGGTAGACACTCATGAGGTCACCTTGGCGTCCCTAAAAAATCGTCCATAAATTATAATCTCACCATTACTACTGCATAAACAAGTTCCTTACCTACTTCATTCATTCTTTTTTAAGCAATAAATTTTTTTTGTATTTATACTTTTCAGTTGTTTTTTTTCTGAAAATTCAAAATTCACATTCATTCATTGTTTTAATGGTGATATCTAATTGTGGAGCACTTTTCATTTTATTTGGTTAATGATTTAATGTTATTTATTAGATTTTTTTGTTTGATTTTCATACAGAAATATATTCTCTTTTAATTATTTTCTTTATTCAGAATTCTTTTTTTTACATTTCTACTGTGATATGAAGTTGTTCTTTTTGTTTTTTTTAAGCGCGAAAAAATGGGAAAACATAAATGATAAATAAATCATAAATAATTAACAATAGTACAACATCAAAGTCATTATTGTCATCTATATCACGAATAAACAAACAATAACAGCAATTAATCTTCTAGTCAGTCATTGTGAAATAAGCATGTGATGTAAATGACAGTACGTGTGTTTCATGATGTAATTGTTGACATTCGTTTTTTGGGTATTATCATACTTGTTGTTGTTGTTATTATTACTGTTATTTCTTTTAAAACACTGTAAAGTAATTGAGAAAGAATGAACACCTTCAACTTAACACACACAGTACCAGAGAATCATTGAGATTGTTAGTAGAAGGCATTTGTTTTATTAATTGCACAATTATTGTTATTACTATCTTGTATTATGTGTTAGATTCATTTAAAAATATAATTAAGTACACCTTCTTGCTTATTTTTTTATTCGGATGCAAGAAAAGCAGTATGTATTTTCGGCTAAAAAGTTTTGTTCTTGTTTGATTTTGAGTATGTTTGTTGAAGTGTAGAATACGTTTGTGTGTATGGATGTGTGAAGTATTTACAAAATCTCATACTAAGTCAGACAGCCAGTCAGCCATCACTAACGTAGAACCGAATAGTTATCCACATCGGTTCAAGTTGCTACATTACGTCAGCACAACCAGATAGTTAGGTCACCCTTAGCTCTCAAACCTACTCCCACACGTCAGCCAATATAATCAACCATAAGTAAACAGCTATCATTGGTCCTTGATCAATCAACTCGATCAACACTAAGGAATAGAATGATGTTTATTACTACTGAATGATCAAATAGTATTGGTTGGAATCCCAAATGAACATCATTTTCTCAAATACTGTAAATGCTGTTGGAGGTATGTTAATTAACGCAAGATTTGGGTGGAAGATATTGTCCTGTGATTTCGAGTCACCTAATCATAAGTCTTCTAAATGAATATTCTGCATTGTTTCCTTTGTACTAATTAAACGTGAATTAATTTAATTTGGCAATTATATATTTTGAAGTTACGAGACGTCAGAAATAAGATTTTCTGCTCATTGGGATATAAAAAGTTTATTTACTATTAACTCTCTACCCAACGCTCAATTTATTTTAAACTATCAAGTCCAACTTTAGCATCTAAACCTTCTGAATGGACGCTCGATACGATATCCTAGTCGCTTTTAAAAATTCCCCTCCAGGCTAAATCTTCACGGTAACTCGAACACGGGAGAAAATAGACAAAATACAAAGAGAACGCTTTACTCTACGGTTAATTGTTGTATAGAAAAACGAGGGTATTTGTGGAGTTATACACAATCTTTGGCTTTCTGAGGTTTCTGGGACCATACTAGATATAGTAGCAGTATGGGTAAATATCCAATCAGAAACGTGACACGTGACTTTATTTTCTAAATATCTCTGCGAAGAATTTACCCGGCGTTGATTGGATAAAACGTTTCCTGGAGTTTATAGGCCCCTATGGACTTTCCCGAAGAATACTTTGGAACTCCCTAACACTTGGATTAGAGGTCACATTATAGCTTGGTAAATTAGTATAGAGGGCTAAATGAACAGTAATTGATTAGTAGTCAGTCATCAATCATTATAAATAGATTCATATTTGAGGAAAGGTTTTTAATAAGTAATATTTGAGTTATTTCTTCCTATCTTCTAACTCAACAACAGATTAAACCAATGATTTTTTTAATGAAGCCTAAAAATCTTGGGCTCTTTAGCAAATCTATTTGTTATATTTTAAATTTCTGAGCACAAAAAGTTAAGTGAATCAAACTTTGTAATATGTAGCCGTATTGTATCAAGTTTAACTAATAAAGTAAGAGAACCACTTTCTTTTTCGTTAGTACTTATCTGAATAATTTTAATTCCTGAGAAAGAAAAGTCAAGAAAATGAACTTCAACTGGGTGATAGATGAATTTGAAGAATCAATTCTATCCAACTTATAAAAGGTTCACAGAAGAAGGCTATGAAGAAGCTGCGATGAAGTCCTGCAAAAGGCGCTGTGCATTTTTGTGAACTTAACTTTTGTAAATAATGTAAAGAAGAATATGGAGTAGAATTATTAAGATTATAAGATTTCTGAAGAAAGATGAATTAGTTTCGTGTGCTACAATTTGACAGTCTGTTCATTATTGAGTCTAATTAAAAACGTAAGGAACAAAAGTGGATTTAAAATAAATTAAATACAAATAGCATCTAGGCGTAGTAAACATTAAACTTGTAAGATGAATGATTCATTTATCCTAATAAGTTATCTAAATTAACTATCGTCCATATTCTTCAACTTTACACTTCTGATGAATGTATCTTATTGTGGATAAAAGGACCATATGAACAGTTGAGATCTACATATAAGTGGATAACGCATTGACATTTGAAGTGAATGGTGGTGGTTTCGAGTCAAAGAGTAAATATCAACTCTGAAATTCAAGTACATCCAGCTGACGAGTCTTAAGTAAGAATAAACGCATATCTTGGATTCCACTGCTATCCATTACCCACCTCTATAATGCAGTATTGGGACAATCCTCACAGAATGCCCATATGTCAAAAGAGACCTATTTAATCCAGTTCTAGAGCCTAAGTGGAAGATTCAAACAAGCGATGCAAATCAATTAAATAAATATTTACTTACTTTAATCAACAAAGACAGAAATCGGATGAAAACTTTTGGGGTAGACAAATCAGTGAATTAATCAATAAAATTATTTATTACTAGTCTGAGCCATATCAATAGGTGCAAACTTCTTGTTTGAAACCTATCCAGTAGTCGTAATGTACGGCTATAGACTTTGAAGGGAATGTTCCAAAAGTGATTACAACAACTCATTTGCCTTCATTCTCTATCATTCTCCAAACCTTGAAGTTAGTGTCAATCCTAATTTTACGTTCTTCATTATGGTTTATTCTGATCAAATTGGATTTTTAGATTTTTATTTCATTCAAGATTACATTATTCCCCTCCGCCTATTTCCCATTTTGTTAGTTTTTTTCTCACTTTGCTGATATAGCAACAGGCACCAATAACACATTCTTATGGGGTCACATATTGACTGCAACTTAACTGAATTTTAATGATCAAAGTGCTATTTTTATATAATACATGGATTATATCTATCAGCAGAACTCGTAATATGTATTTCATCCTATGCGCGAGTGGTCACTGGGGTTTATCCGCATGCGTGTTGTTGTTAGCACTGAGACTCGAACCTAGTAACTTTCGCTCCAAATCCCAACCCGTTATCCATTAAGCTACTGAGTCCAGGAGAAACACCGAGTTTGAGTCCTAATGCACATATCAACACGGGTGAAGATAAATTTGACTGGCGAATTCCGGATAGGAAAAACCCAGCATTGTTGATCCCGCTGTTAGCTATAATTCATCTATTAAAAGAAATCTTGTGACAGAATTGCCATATTGTGGCAATCCACGCAGAATGAATACGTGCCAGCAAAACTGATCGAAATTCAACCATGATTGATATTAATAATATGGCTAATTTTATTTAAAAGCTATCTATCGTTCAATACGTCTATATTGCAAAACCAGCGTAATCGTCTAAAAGACTTAACAGTTGATTATGTTAACCAGTTAATCAGATGATTATTTAAGAATATTAGTAGTATAGGTATTGGAAATGGTTCGTGATTTCCGGTTGTTGATATTTAGGGGTATAACTGATCAATCTCAGCTTTCATCATCAAGATCTTAACATTTTCCCAGTACATTGTGTGTCCACAGTTGTCCACCTGCATTGGTATAAGCGAGGATATGTGATGGTGTTTGACCGCTAATTGATGTTCGTGCAGGCGAAGATGAAGGGTGTGTCCACTTTGTCCGATGTAGGGTTTTTCGGAGTTGGGAGAATTTATTTTGCAAATGACGTTCGGTTTTTATTCTTTTTACATTTCGTCCTTTTGTTTGCACAGAATCGACTGAAGTGATTTTGTCGGTTTACGTGTTACACCTATTTCAAAGGGATTCGACGATCTCGTTGTAATTTTTGATATACCTTTTATATATGTGGTAGAATGATCTGTTTGTTGGTTTCTGCAGTCGTTCTTTTGAAAGATAGTCTTCAGGTATTTTTCTTCACTTTTCAGCACTGCAAGTGTGTTGCAGTGTTTTCTCGCCCTTACGAATAAAGTTTGTATGCCGTTGACTTTGTGAGTCCTTGGATTGTTGCTATTGTAATTGAGAATTCGATCTGTACGGATTGGCTTCTGATATGCTTAGGTCTCCAGTTTTCCTGTGTCAGTCCTGGTTATTAATACATCCAAGAATGACATTTTATCGTTTGATTCCTGTTCCATTGTGAACCTTATGTCATCGAAGGCATTGTTGATCAGATTGTAGATGTTTTCCAGCTCGTCCTTTTTGACGATGGCGAATGTTTTGTCTACATAACGAATCCAAACTTTTGGCTTGATCACTGGTAAGATCGGGGTTTCCAGCCTCTGTATCACTGATTCTGTAATAAGTCCTGATATTGGTGATACCATCGATGAGACATAATTATTCGTATGAAACTTCTAACTCAAAGCTATATTTAGTTTCACTCTAATTATTTCTATTGAAGGAAAGGCAATGGCAGTAGTCTTGGTTGATTCCTATTTTGAAAGTCTATAATACATCTTTATTCTGTTATTCATTAATTTGCTCACTAACTTGTGATTTAAACTGTTTTTACCATTAAGTCCTTTACTTGATTACGGCAGAATACGATATAAGACTAACGGCACGTGAATGTGTAAAACCTCACGGTCGCAGAATCAGAAGCCAGAAGAAACAACGGAGGTAATTATTGGGTAAGAATAGAAAATGTACAGAAAAAAAACATGGGTATTTATAGTTATTAGCGTTGGCTATAACGTCATTATAGTTCCGTCAATCCTCAAGGGGGCAAGTTATGCTACCATCCAATCGTAGCACGCTACGTCGATATTCTGGAAGGCTCTGTCGGGCTCTGATTGGACGAAAACTCTTCGGTTCCTTTAGAGCCTCTGGAGACCTCGCCATGCTTCTCAACGCCATCACAACATTTACATAGTTTGATCGAGGATTTTCTGAAACGTTGATAAGCTTAATTTCTCAATAGTATTCATCATAGTTTGCTATCGGTAAACATTGGATCGCTTTCACTACAAAAATCCTCAATGTTAGAGTGCACCTACAACCTCAGAGTTGTGAGAGGCTGAATCTTTTAGGTTTTGCAAGAAACAAGCTGCATTAGAATCACTCACTCAAAATTCAGTGGTCAACATTCCTAACTTAACGTTAAAACTAAACACTGTTTTGGCATCCAGAATCTAAATAACTAAATAGTACATCTTACTGTTGAATATTTGTACAATAACAGATTATAGAAACAGCAAGCTTTCTTCATTTAATCAAGTTTACTGATTCATTGTATTAGTTAATTTCAATAAGTTAAAACACT